ATAATATTATAAAAATTAACACAAAAATTTAAATCAAAACGAATTTTAATATCTCTGAATTTTAATATATAATATCATTTATTATAACTGATAGTAAATATTAATATTATTTATTTTAAGTAATGTAAATATTAATATCATTTATTTTAAGTAATGTAAATATTAATATCATTTATTCGTAAGAGATAGAAGTTTGTCGATAGAAACTTCACAACCTGTGGATCGTAGTCAAGCTTACAAATTCCCTCCCCTTGCGCCAGGAATGCCTTCAGCCGACTAACGTGAGGATCGTACCACTCGCGAGAACGCTGGTGCACCAGATCGGCAACACGCTCGATGGACCTCCGACGTGATTTCTGAAACTCCTCATTCACGGCAGCCATCCTCAGACCTTCTTCAGAAGCCCTCTTCTCCAGATCCCCCCAATGCCGCATCTCCTTACTGGCGGACTCTACCTTGAGCCTTTGGATCTCCGATTCTAGCTCCAGATTCTTATGCTCCAGATTCTTTATCTTCGTTTCCACTTTACGAAGCTCCTGGTCTTTTAACACCAGCTCTTCGGTCTTATATTTTTCCTGAGAAGAATCCTAGTCATACGATTCCATCAAGGATGCGCAAATCCCAAGACCCTACATAAAATATTGAGCCATCCCTGAGAAATTCTCTAAATACTTCAACTTTTCCACATCAGTTCCCTTGTTTGACTTCGCCCTACACTGCCATACCAAATTTGCAGCGAAGTGTTCATCAAACATCGCTGGGGTATGTCCGTTCCACCGCAGCGGATATTGATGAGGATTGGAGTTGGTTTCGTCAGGGATGCTTCGATTCTTTGAAGCCTCCGAGGAATCGTTTGCAGAAACCGGAAAATTAGGTCTTTGATCGTCTGTTTCCTTGAAATTAGAATCTTGCTCTCTAGTTAACGGAGCATCAACCGCAACCACAAATGGGATCTTTGGTGAGGACAAATTGACAGACCGGACATCAACGATATTAACGACCGGATTGTTGCCATTTGCCACTGGAGGGTTGTCAGATGATGGTGGATCTTCCATTGGAACCGTGATTCTTGGCTTTTAGCCCGCAGACTTTCTGGGATATCAATTTCAACAAGAGGTATTTTGCTTCTTTTTCTTAATCCCATCTTTGCAAAAGGATGACGATCAAAGATCAAATCGAAGATTTTTTTCCTTTTTATCTTTGAAGAAAGCAAAAATCAAAATTAGGAGATGGAAACTCAACAGTTCTATAAGGACCTTTGACTTTCCCGCTTGGAAGAAGAACCCTAATGCATAATGGACTGCGTGTTAATAATTTATAATGCTACGTGTTAAAGATGGGCCGAGCTGGCTATCGCGAAGGAATACTCTTGACAAACTATTGCTTATTACGAGATCAAACCATCTTGCTTTATGAAGTCCGCCGAGCTGATTTACAATCAGTCTCGCCGAACTGGAGAAGGGGACTTATTGTTAGAGGGAAAATGAGAACATTTCCTAAAAGGTTCTCTCTAGCAATAACCGAAGCCCATCAAGACCTAGAAGAGATGTGTCGACATAACCAAATAAGGAAAACTGTTTATAGATGCTTATTGATCCCCGTAATATCAGATCAACTTAGAAGAATATTTAAGGAATACTTGCGAAGTCTACTAGAGAAGTCTAATTGAGAAGTCACATACAAAGTCTGACAAAGAAGTCTGCATATGAAATCTGAATATGATAAAACACACATAATATAAGAATATAATAAATAACATTCATTGCAACCAACTTTACATATAAAATAGACTTTCTAAACAAACAAACATTTAAGGATCACTAATTATAAATCTTAAAATTGGCATATAAAAACAAAATGTCTGAAATATATGTATGAGACTGAAGTCTGCTCAAGAAATCTGCTCGAGAAGTCAACTCGACAAGTATGTGGCCAAAGTCTGCTTCCAAAAAAAAACAAAAGAGAAATAAATAAGCTCAGGTCTGCACAATAAGAAAAACAATGTTAAAATTCATATTTAAACAAAATCTGCTATATTTACAAACATCATATCTGCAGCAAAAAGGAAACAAAGAAATTAGCTATGCAACAAAAAAAATTCTAGATCTGCTATAAAATAAACAAAATTCAGATATGCAACAAAATACACAAAATCAGATATGCAACAACAAAAAATTCAGATCTGCAACAACAAAAAAATCAGATCTGCAACAAATTCTATAAAATTTATCCAACAATAAGCACATATTTGCAAGAATAAACTCAGATCTACAACAAAAAGCTCAAATATGTAATAATAAACTCAGATTTACAATATGAACACAAAACAAACAACAAAAGAAATACAAAACGTTAGATTTGCTTACCATCACCATAATTGAGTTAGAGAAGATGGAGGATAGAGATGAGTTTGATGGCAAGAGAGGAAGGAGAAGAGATTCATGGCCAGAGAAGAGGTAGAGGAGAGAGAGGCGTTTTTTAGAGGAAGAGAAAAACTTTTTTTAAAACCAATTAGGTTAATCTCCTTATATATGTAGGAAATTTTTCGGTTAAGTAGACTTCTTAAGAAGTCTACTCGAAAAGTCTACTTCAATATATTTTTTTTATTTTGATTCCCGCCCAATTTATTCCGATTCCCCCCTAATTTGTTAAATAATTTTAATTTCCCGCTGCGTTTTTTTAAGTCTACTGAAGAAGTCTAACCGAGAAGTCTACTGCATATGTTTGTTTACCCTAAACGCTAAATCAAATATTTTTTATATTAAACTTCTCTAGAGGTGTGAGCGGAGGCTTCAAATTGTCCAGCATTGTCAAAGCTTCGTAGATCTAACACCTTGTCGATATCTTAATTTTCTTCTTATACTATGTTGGTGGGAAGTATATTTTCATAGGTTGTAGTGCTGTCAATTCCTCCTCGGAATCCTACAAAAACATTCAGTTGTACCAAGTTATTCCAATATTACAAATAAAATCTGATTAGTTGTACCAAGTAATTCTAGTATTACAAATAAAATCAGATTAGTTGTACCAAGTAATTCTAGTATTACAAATAAAATTCAACTATGTATATCTAGTTATACTAGTATTACAAATAAAATCCGACTAGTATTATCTAGTTATACTAGTATTACATAAACAACCACAACTCCTAATATTATCTACTTATACTAGAATTACATGTAACAACCGACTAGTTTTATTTAGTTATACTAGTATCATGTAGTTATACTAGTATTACTTAAATAAGCACAAATCCTAGTAATATCTAGTTATACTAGTAGTACATGTAACAACGACTTGTTTTATCTAGTTATACTAGTATTACTTAACAACTACAAATCCTAGTATTACCTAGTTATACTAGTAGTACATGTAATAACAACTTGTTTTATCTAGTTATACTAGTATTTCTTAACAATTACAAATCCTAGAATTACCTAATTATACTAGTACTATATGTAACAAGGACTTGTTTTATCTATTATACTAGTTTTCCCTAGTTTTACCTAACAAAAACAATTTAGTTTCCCCTAGTTCTACCTAACTACAAATCCAATGAAATCGAAATACTTACAAGACTTCCATCTTTTTCTTCCTCTCTGTCTTCTTCTTCATTATTGTCTTCTTCTTCATTGTCACTCTCCTTTCTCTCCTTCTTCTTCATCCTCCTTCTCATTCTCGTCCTCCTTTTCGTCGTCATTCTCTTTATTATCTTCTTCATGTCTATCTCCAATGGGAACCGTAGATCCTTCCCCCTCTTCGCCAATGGGAACCGTAGTTCCTTCCCCCTCTTCTTCAATGGGAAACATAGATCCAAGCTCTTCATTCATTCTCAAATTCGCATCGGCAGATCCGAACTGTTTTGATTCTTGTCCAGCATATCGGCGGATTCACATCTTCAACAATCTTCTTCTTCTTCTTTCTTGTCCAATTTGTCCTGGCCATTGAATCGGTGGATTGAGTTTGAGAGAGAGGATGGAAGCGATTTTGGTTTGAAATTAAGAGGAGGTTCGAGTTTTATGAGGGACGGAGGAGAGTTCAACGAGTCAGTTTGGAGCAGTTCGTTTAAGGGAGTGCAAACAATTTCGGGTGATTTTGGGTTAGGGATTTTTAGTTTCCGGTTAGAGGTTAGATCCGATTTGAGTTGGGTGGGCAGATAAAATCCAGGTATAATTGTAAATCTTGTTAGTTGAATATGGTTTTAGATAATTTTAATAATTTAAATTAAATGAAAATAAAATAAAATTAGAATGGAGATATTTCAGATTTGTGTTTCAGATAGTGGGTAGTGGGGCATCTGAGATTAAAACTCCATTCGAGTCACTCACCCCTTTTTGGTTGAGATGATTAACAAAAGAGCTTAGAAAAAAGGGTTGTCTGCCGTCAGCCCCTGCATATTTCCCCAAATTTAATTAGAAATTAAAATCGCGATCAGTTTACGAAATCGCGTTTTGGTTAGATTGCATTTTGAGGGGAAATATGCAGAAAATAAATTGTTTAAGTGGAAATATACGGAAGTGTAATCTAAGAGGGAATATAATATTAAGTATATGTGAAACTTGCATTGGTTAAGATGTTTAATGTCAAATAAAATGACTTTTTACTTTTTGGGATATACTTGATATCATATTCCTTTCTAGACTATAATTTCGTATATTCTCAATCAAACAATTTGTTTTCTGCATATTTTTCCCAAAACGCAATTTAACCAAAATATAATTTCGTAAATTAATCATGATTTTAATTTATAATTAAATATAGAGAATAAAAAATAAATTGTTTCGGTGAAAATAGAGAGAAATCTATCATCTAAAAAGTTTTAAATATACAATGTATAATTTGAGGCTGACGACAGCCAACTGTAAGAAAAAATGGAGTTTTGGCTTCTTCACCCCCAAAACGGTGTCGTTCTGGGGTTGCGTCCCCTCTCCTTTGTGAGGCTAAAAAGTAAAACACAGTTTGTTTCTTTCTTCTTTCACCGGAAACCAAAACAATCAGAAATGGCGGTGGCCAAACTTCACGGCGGCGACCTGTCGATGCGTCTACCTTTCCCTGTGCATTACCGGCGGTTTTCGAAAACTCCGAGCAATGGCTCTTTCGCTCCACGGAGGTACATCGTTCCCATGGCGACGGCGAAGAGAAGCCCTAAGCGTCTCAAATACTCTACTCCTCGCTTCACCAAGGTTTGTTCTTAGCCAGTCTCACCGATTCTACTCCCAATTGCGATTCTAATATCTTCGATTATGTATTACCACAGGAAGGTGGATTTCTGTCGATAGAGGTCGATCCTTCGGGTGCTGATTCGTGGAAACTGGAAACTGTCATTGAGCTTCTCAAAAAAGGAGCTGTTGGTGTTATCCCCACAGATTCAGTGTAAATGCCTTTCTTCTTCCTTCCTCTCCTCTGTTTCACATTTTTTCTTCTCTGACGCCATCTTCATTCAATCTATATTATAGATATGCAATTGCATGTGATTGTAAAAACCCTTCCGCTGTAGAACGTCTCCGAAGGTTAGCTTAGCTTAGCTTTAGCATCTCTAATTCCTTTCAGTTTAAGCTGACACAAACCCATGTGTGTGTGGACCTTTGTAGGATCAAAAAGATTGAATCTTCCAAGGTTAGGAATGAAAATTTGGCATCTTTTCACTATGTTTTGGGATTTTGATGATTTGATATTGCTATCTTGTGCAGCCACTTAGCATCTTATGCCGTTCTTTTCGAGACATAGACACATACACAATGGGGTTCCCTCGTGGTGATGGTCATGGTCACGCCAATGTTTTTCGAGCCGTCAAGCAATGCTTACCTGGTCCTGTATGTGAGACACACTCTTTTCTACTGCATGTATTAGCAATCTCCAAACAGTTTTCATGTTTCGTTAACATTGGATGATTCTATGCGATTATGTTTCTTGGACCCAGTACACCTTCATCTTGACTGCAAGCAAAGAGCTACCCAAACAGTGCGTAGGGTATGGCACGACAAGTGTGAAATACGCATCGAGAAAATACGTTGGTGTCCGGATATCTGATGACGCTGTGTGCCAAGCTATCTTGCAGGAGATGGATGCTCCGCTGATTTGCACCAGGTTTTCTTTTAACTTCTTCTTCTTCTTCTTCTTCTAAATCCCAATCATTTACAGTGGATGATGACATTATATGATGATGATGTGGTGTGTATAATGACAGTGTGAAAGGGCCAAAAGAAAATGAATGGATGATTGATCCAGTCGCAATTGGTGACATATATGGACCAGAGGTATTAGATATTGAGATAGCTCTCTCACTCACTCACTCACTCTCACTGGCTCTAAAGGAAGCTCTTTTCGTTGCTCTACAGGGTCTGGATTTTGTGGTGGATGGAGGTGTACGAGTGGCTGAACCTTCGACCATTGTGGATATGACAGGACCATATCCCAAAGTCATACGTGGAGGGAAGGTAATAGATACATTTTAAGTTTGTGCTTCATCCATCATCCGAAGGTAGGAGCTTAACGCCTGCGTGGTTTTTGTGCAGGGGCCTATATTGCCATGGATGGTGGTTGAGGAGGAGGACGACGACTCTCGCCTGCGCCAAGATCTTATCGCTTCTGGAACTTAAAAAGGGATATATATAGAGAGACTGTGTGTTTGACATCCTTGTAACTGAAGAAGAAGATGAATAATGTGAATATAACAAAGGTATTACGAATGTTGGAATCTGAAATCCATACTAAGAGTTTTAATCATTAAACTCCTAAAGATTACATACTAAGAGTTTTAATCATTAAACTCCTAAAGATTAGTTTGGGATCCTCTCTAGATTTTGAATTTTGTGAATGTTATTGCTAAATTTTGTTGCTACTGTATGTACTAAAAATTCTTTTAGCAAACCAAAAAAAGAAAGGGTATTTTTGCTAATAATACATAGAATATCTTTTAGGCCGATTTATGCAAGGTAAATAACGGCGTATTTGAATTTATATTTAATAAATAAGTAAATGTTTAGGTAGATGAAAGCAAGCAGTTCTGCAGTAGCACAATGGTTAAATATGACATCGCGCTTCACTGAGTACTATAAAATTCCGGGTTCGACTCCCGGCTGCGGAATAATTTTTTCCGCAAAAACCCTAAATTTGGGGACGGCAAGTGGATAAAGGTGAGAAGTTTTATGCCTTTTGCAGAATGATCGGTGAGTGAGTTTATTGTTCTTCTCTGATTCTCCATGGAAGAAAGTCGCTACAGCTATAGAAATGGCTTGATTTGGTTTTTTTCTTTTCTTCTCCCAGTTTTATAGTTATTTACTTATTTGCGATTTCGGAGCTCACTAGTGAAATGAACAGAGAAGCCGAAACTTGAATAGTAAAAATCTTTGCTTCCACTGGATCTACGAGTCACCTGTAAGTTTGGAACCAGATAGATCGTTTCAGTATTCTCTGGTTCTCGATGAAAGAAGGTCTCTTCTTCTTCCAGCTCGTTCTCTTCTAGTAATGCTTCTGATTTAGAGCGAGCTGGAAAAAGCTGACTCATTTTTAAAAAGGCAAAAACTTTGCAGTCTCTTACCTCGTTGATTCATTGGGTTTACAAACTGCAAAAATTGCTGAATCCATCTCAAGGAAACTCTGCAATTGTGGATAATATGTAACGATGCTGCAAATCTGAATCTTCTTAGAAGTCATGGGCCGGCTCATAGATTCTCATATTTCCAGCATCATTACAGATTATCCACGATGGCTTGAAGAAGCTGCTGAGAAATCACTTGCCCACAAGCTTAAGTGACCTGCACTCCAGAGAGAGCTTCAAGCTCTGAGCCCACTGAGATCCTTTCAAAAATCCCTAAAATCAGAAAAGGTATCGGTTTTGAGAGATTTGGATGTGAGGAACCATGGTGACAAAGGAGCCTGAGCATTGAGCAATAGGTCAATTTTAGACTTAGTTCATCTCAGTTTGTTCGGGATCAAACCGTTTCTTTCTTGATGCAACTTAGACTTCGAAAAATAGCTTAAATGTAATCTTACACTATTTTATACATTTTCTGAACCTGTTTATCTGTTTCAGTTATTTTCTGAATTTTTGGTGATCTTGTTCGTATGGACACAGTCAGTTTCCAAATTAGAATCAAGAAGACTCTTGTGGGGATGCAATTGATTCATAAACTTAAAAATCCAATTTTTTCTCATCCAACCTCCAAAATTATCCTTACTGATTTACTGTTGGGTCTAGAGTAAATTAAAGTTTTGTTTTTTCTTGTGTGGGGATTTTAGTTCTCCTGTGTTTTCTTCCATCAGCGTTCTTATTTTCCCTGACTCTGTTTCTGGATTTCTTCACTTTTTTTTCACAAAAAAAATTGGAAACCCTTTGATATGGATATCTATATTCTGATTTCAGCTTTTGAACTGCAGATATGGATTTTGAAAGATGCAATGCAGCTTCTGAGTTCTTGTTTTGGTCATGTAAGTCTTTTGATCTTTGGTTCCCTGAGAAGCTTTAGTGTCACCAAATTTAATAAAGTTTTGGGATTCGATTACTTAAAAATTGAAAATCACAGCTGATGATAAGAAAATTCTATAATATCTTCGATTATGTATTATCACAGGAAGGTGGATTTCTGTCGATAGAGGTCGATCCCTCGGGTGCTGATGCCTGGAAACTCGAAACTGTCATTGAGCTTCTCAAACAAGGAGCTGTTGGCGTTATCCCTACAGATTCAGTGTAAATGCCTTTCTTCTTCCTCTCCTCTGTTTTCACATGTTTCTTCTCTGACTCCAATCTTCATTCATTCTATATAGATACGCGATTGCATGTGATTGTAAAAACCCTTCCGCTGTAGATTAGCTTTAGCTTTAGCATCTCTAATTCCTTTCAGTTTAAGCTGATACAAACCCATGTGTGTGTGGCCCTTTGTAGGATCAAAAAGATTGAATCTTCCAAGATTAGGAATGAAAATTTGGCATCTTTTCTCTGTGTTTTGGGATTTTGATGATTCGATGTTGCTATCTTTGCAGCCACTTAGCATCTTATGCCGTTCTTTTCGAGACATAGACACATACACATTCACAATGGGGTTCCCTCGTGGTGATGGTCATGGTCACGCCAATGTTTTTCGAGCCGTCAAGCAATGCTTACCTGGTCCTGTATGTGAGACACACTCTTTTCTACTTTAGTTCTTTGTGTAAATGGATGCTCCAGACAGTGTTTCCATGTCCATTAACATTGAATGGTCTATGTGCATATATGTTTGGACCAGTACACTTTCATCTTGACTGCAAGCAAAGAGTTACTACCAAAACATCGCGTAGGGTATGGCACGACCAGTGTGAAATACGCAACCAGAAAAAACGTGGGTGTCCGGATATCTGATGATGCTGTGTGCCAAGCTATCTTGCAGGAGATGGATGCTCCGCTGATTTGCACCAGGTTTTCTTTTAATTTCTTCTTCATCATCTTCTTAATCCAAATCATTTACAGTGATTGATGACATTGTATAATGACAGTGTGAAAGGGCCAAAAGAAAATGAATGGATGATTGATCCAGTCGCAATTGGTGACATATATGGACCAGAGGTATTAGATATTGAGATAGCTCTCTCACTCACTTACTCTCTCTCACTGGCTCTAAAGGAGGATCTATTCGTTGATTCACTCTTCTTTTTTACAGGGTCTGGATTTTGTGGTAGATGGAGGTGTACGAGTGGCTGAACCTTCGACCATTGTGGATATGACAGGACCATATCCCAAAGTCATACGTGGAGGGAAGGTAATAGATTTATCTAACACTTTCGTTGTGTGGAAGGAGGATTAACGCCTGCGTGTTTTTTGTGCAGGGGTCTATATTGCCGTGGATGGTGGTTGAGGACGACGACGACTCTCGCCTGCGCCAGGATCTTATTGCTTCTGGAACTTAGAAAAGAGATAAAAATGTGCAAAGACTCTTGTGTTTTTGACATTTAGACACAGGACATCTTGTAGCTGGAGAATATGATTAATAAATGTGAATCTGAAAAAATCCATACAAAACACATGTATGGGGAAGTAAGACACAGGACATTTAGACACAGGACATCTGTGCTTTTTCGTAGCTAAACTAAAACACTGTGCATTTTTCTATCAAACTTTAACTTTTGGGCCTTAAATTTGATGTCGTTTGGAATTGAATAAAAAAATTTGCTTTAGACAAGAATCAAACCCTGGTCTAATGATTAAATCAACAACACGCAAACCATCTTGCTACAATAACGTTTGACAACTAACTATAGTAGAAATAAATAATATATAACATAACGTATTTATTACAAATGTTAATTATACTTTCCTTTTTAGATCGTTTCTATTGCTTTGTTATTAAGAATATAAAATTCACTTTTCAATTGTTAAAAAAAAGTGAAATTAAAATATTTTAATAAAAATATTTTATTAAAAGTATAAGTTTCATTTTTAAATTTTTAATAAAAACGTTTTTTTTTCAAAACATGTATAATAAAAATTTATAAATTAATAAATTTTGTAAATTACTAAATTTTTTGGTTTTGAATTGGTCTAGTTCAATATATTACAGAAATATATGGTCTTATTAATATAATAAATAATAATATGATCTTTGTAAACCAATAATAATTGAAATTTAATGGACATGTTTAATTTTACTTTTTAATAACTGAAAAGTGAAATTTATGTTCAAGTTGAAAAGTGAAATTCATATTTTTAATAAACATTTTTAGTTATTGCAGAACATAAATTTCACTTTTCAGTTATTTAAAAAGTGAAATTAAAAAATGTCTCCACTAAATTTTAATTATTATTAGTTTACAAAGATCATATTATTAATTTATTATATTAATAAAATCATATATTTATGTAATATTTTGAACTAGACCAATTCAGAACCGAAAATTTACTAATTTACAAAATTTATTAATTTATAAATTTCTATTATACATGTTTTGAAAAAAACGTTTTTATTAAAAATTTAAAGTGAAACTCATACTCACACTTTTTTAACAACTGAAAAGTGAAATTTATATTCTAAATAACAAAGCAATAGAAACGATCTAAAGAGGAAATTATAATTAACATTTGTAATAAATATGTTATGTTATATATTATTTACTTCAACTATAGTATTCAAAAGTTGTTGTAGCAGAATGGTTTATGTGTTGTTGGTCTAAGCAACCTTTGTCTAAAGCAAGGTTTATGATTTTTCAATTTTTTTTTCAATTCAAAACGACATCGTTCTTTATATTTAACGATTGACTAACTTCTGTTAAAGTCAAATTTGTTTTAGGCTCAAAAGTTAAAATTTGGGTTAAGTTTTTGAAATTTTGAAGCGTTCAAATAGAAAAATGCATTGTATATTAGTTTAGATAGGAAAAAGCACGATGCAAATTGTTGAGGTTGAAATTGACTATTTTTCCGAAGTCGAAGATCGAACCTAAAAGAATAAGAGGATGGACACAACTATATATATGTACAAAACTTCAAAGATCGCAGCCTTTTTCTATGTACGAAAAACTCAAAGTTATTATCTTTTGTTCAGATTCTAGTAATTTATTAGATTTTTAAATAGTTTATGGTAAAAAGTTCTGCTGTAGCACAATGGTTAAATTTGATATCGTTTTTTATTGAGCGCTTTAAAATTCCGGGTTCAACCACCGGCAGCGAAATAATTTGTTTTTTTCTTTTTCTCATAGCAAACCCTAGAAGTAGGAAGTGGACGAAATAGTTTATCCTTCTTTTTGGCTTTGTAAGTGCAGATATGGACCTCAAAGACGCGCAATGCGACTCTTAAGTTTTTGGATCGTTCATGTATTTACTAAACCGCTATGGTTTCTTATGTTGCAAACTGCAATTTTGCACAAAAATGTAATGAATTCATAAACATTAAGAAAGCTGTCCGGTTTATTCAGACTGTAGTGTTAAATTAAACCGGTTCGAAAATTCTGGCTGTTATTTTGATTATTAGAGAGATACAGTAGAACCTCTATAAATTAATACTCGATAAATTAATAATTACTATAAATTAATAATTTTTATCGGTTCTAAGTCAGGCATGTGTAAAAATTAGCAAATTTTGATAAGATAATAAAAATAATATTTTTTTTTGAAACTCCTATGTATAAATATAGTCCCAATAATTAGATAAATTAATAATTATACATTTAAAAATATATGAATAATATAATATAGTAAAATATAATTATATTATTGTTTCAAGTTTATAAAAATTGTTTGACTTATTTTTCAAATTCACTTATATGATATTTTCTGAATAAATGTTACATTATTGAAATTTTTTTTTTGTTTTTTGATAAATATTTTGAATTTGAACTGAAATATCTCTCTATAAATTAATAAATTATTAATTTCTCGATAAATTATAATTATTAATTTATCGATTAATTAATAATTCTATAAATTAATAAATTTTTGAAGTCCCAACATTATTAATTTATAGAGGTTTTACTGTAGTAGGTGATTTGACAAAAAAAGAAGAGAGATAGTAGGTGTATACCCGCATTATGCTGTGAGTTTTTTTAATATTTTATTTTATTAGTTTATATCATGCTCTAATAAATAAAAAGTAGATATAGAAATAAATACTTTAATTAAAGAATTATTTATGTTGAATTTAATTAATAAATTTTGATAAGATTATTATTATTATTATTATATTGTACAGTGATATGAGATTTTGAAACTAATTATCATTTTAAACAAAATAATAGATCAAATTAAAATGTAATTGTATATATATTTTTTTTAATTTTACGTTTTTTCTAACACTCTTACATCGTCTAATTTGTTTATATTTTATTAAAAAAATTATCTGTTTAATTTTTAAATTTTTTAATATAATACATCACTTTCTCATAAAACATCAATCAAAGCTGGCATATTATCTGTTTATAAATGAATTTCTTTACATTAATTTTATTTTACTTAAAAAATATTCTCTAAAATTATATTATTTTCAAGTGAACATAATTTAGTTGCTTTCCTTACTAATTATTCTTAATTTCTTTCTCAGTCTCCGTATCTCTATATGATCATTGGTATAACTCAATATCTTTTGATCATCCATGATATCTTTCTCAACTAAATAGCTATGTAATTTGTCTATCTTAATATAGCACTAAGTGCAAAATGAGTTTGGTTATCTTAGATTCATTATTCTTATCTCAATTTTCGTTGATCTATTCTACTAAATCCTTCTTATAGTACTCATGTTTTTTTCATTTTTATTTTTATAAATAATCATGTCACTCTTTTTTAGACAAAATCATGTATCTCTTACTTTCAAAAATGATAATAAATCAAATGTCATACTTAGCCATTCATTTTTCTTATCTTCTAATATTGCCAGCCATTATCGTTCAACTTCCATTTTTCTTTTACCTATTTACAAATTTTGCTTTTTTTTATGCCCTTTAACTTCAGTTACAAATATCATTGTACAAAGTAATATTGTTTTAGGAAAAATTGACTTTCTTACATTGTGATATAATATAGAATTTTTTTTTTTTGATAAATTTATGATTCAATATTATTTTTTAACAGTTTGTAAATATTATTCCAAAAATAAAGTAATATGAAAATGAGACCAAAAAAAACAAATCCTAGACTTTGTTTGAACCAAAATCAAAACGAAAACTAACAACAAAGCCATAAAAAATACGATCAAAAAATTTCAACACCTTGATCAAAAAGAAATTGCAAGCACATGGATCCTCCATTTACCACATACGATTGTAAACATGTCTCCTTAACCACCCCAGACTATGTTGAAAATTCCACTTCGCCCTATGTTGTATCAAATTCTTTATTTTACATGTACCCAATAGAGACGAGCCTGTCAATATCTACATATGAAAAGCTTTTTTTTATGGGAGTCACTCCATATGACTTTTGCTCATTGTTTATTTGAACATCATAAAAGTTACTACAATTAGAGATTTGATAGAACTTTTTTTCTAGTTACCATCCTTCCACTTTTGAACTCTTTGTCCCCTCTCTTCATTGGAAATCAATAGAACTCGTGATATCTTGATTGTCTAGTCGCAAAGCTCTCTTAGCATCCTCTTCCGCAGACTTAATTTCAAACCTGATGGGTGAACCATCACACAACCATTAATACTATTTTCTCACTAAGTTAAAATATAACTAGTGAAATTTGAAAACAACCTAAACTCACAATTAAATAATAAATCAAATAATAATCACACCATCAAAATCTTTAATCATCATTACACACCTCAACAGAACATAAATATTAAGTCATTTGCCCTATTTATATGTGTTTAAACTCATGAAAACTAAAAAAAACACATAAATCTATCACTATGTCATAAACATTCTTGCTTGTTTCTATTTATGCATTTTTCATCTTCTTCTGAATCTTTTACTCTTTTTCTTTATATGGAATAATTACGAAGATTACCTATAAAGAACAAAAGGCCAAGCGTTATCACTACAAACATTGGTTTTAGGCCTCATACTTGTCACATAACCAAATCTAACACTAAAGGAACTTGAATGACTTCTCTTAACCGAGGATTCAGATGATGAAATTTGTGTAATTGTATCTACCAAACATCTGTCGTTAAGCAAAAAAAAAAAGAAAAGAGAAAAAAATACAACTGTCCTCGAAAACTATGCTGACAAGCAGCAATACGAGTGGTGGCTCGTCACAATCTCTGCCTTTTTAATCGTGGAGGCGGGTAAAGGGAATCAGTAAAATTTTGAACTAATTATAATATTTTAGTTAATGTTCCTTGATGATGCTCTCTAGAAGGTGTACTTCTGGAAGTTGTTCTAGGACAGTTCTCCGAAGGACGTTCCTTGGAGAACGTGCCCTCGAAGGTCGATTTTGGAAAAACCGTTTTTTCTGAAGAAAGTTCCCTCAAGTAAAAGTTTGAACTAATTAAAATATTTTAGTTAATAAAGATGAGTTTTAGTTTTGACACATCAACAGTTCAAGGTGAGGCACGATAGTGAAGTCGGTCAAGAAACCCAAGAAAAAATGGCCAAGTGTCATCGGGTTCAATATTAGGATTATTTGTACAGAGTTTTACAATTTTGTTGATGCAACAAAGATTATAAAATGTATAAGTTGTAATGTACCAATTATATGTATTATAATGGATGGCTTTACCCATCTATTTCGAGCTCTTGCTATTTTTCTTTGATACT